GCGTTTATTTTTACTAGCAAGCAATTGCTAGCCGCAAAACTTCATAGAGGACGCAACAATTAATAGTTTCTCTGTATTCAAATGCGTACAGATTGTAATTAATTAGCCCTAGAGACTTTTTCAGCGAAGGATTTCGCAAGTAGTTTTTCAAACATATTTGAATACAAAGTCACAGTCTTTGTAACGATGCCGCGGTTCACGATTAATTGCAGGCTAACACCCCACTTCATAACTCGTTACTCAAAGAGTGTTATAAAGTGCGAGATTACTACTTTGAAACGGCCATTCTACTTATAATACGTATATTTTAAACGTATATCCTCGCAAAATATAATTACAATGTATGTAATTATAGCTTTGCAGCTGAAGGTGCTTTAAATTGACACATAAATTTTAAACCCCCGTAGCGAATACAAAGTAAATACGCCATACTTCCTTATCAATCAGTGCACTATCGAACTTGGAAATTTACATTTTGTGCGTAAGTGGGTAAAGGGGACACTTTAATATAGGATTATGTAGGGTACGGGGTCTAGTCTAGCGGGTGGGGTGGCACCCCTATCTTTTGCACAAGTGTCGGTCTCGGGTTATAATAATACATCATGCGGAATATCGTTTGTAAAATCTGAAAATCGCCCTCATCTAATGAACGCGTCCTTGGAATTACTTTCGGGCACCCCCAATTATAACTATTATTACCAATGCGTTATGTACAGAAAATGTACGATCGATCACTGATAGTATCAATTGATGAAGTAACCTTATCCAACTTTTCGCTCATGAAAGGATTTGCGCCCCACGATTGATGGATTACCGTGTACGAGAGTGTGCCGTACCTAATCTCTATAAATATTTGTTTATCGACAGACATGCGAAACACGTTACCTATATACACCTATAAGCTATGAATTTGTGTATGTGCTTTTTTGCTATCCATAAATCTCTGTCAGAAGTTTGCCGTTTTTGTATGTTGGGATTTAGGCGATTTTACCTACCTAGGTCGAAGACGAATAATTCTGTTACCATAAAATAAATGTAATTTCACTATGTCCACCCTTAATATAAATGAGGTTTTTTTTCGTGTTGTGTTTAGCTGTTCACAAATATTTGCATTTGACTCTAACAACTTACTGACCGAGTTCTTATGGTGCTGGCTCACCCTGAAAGTTGGCAGTATTACAGCTAAGCTTTGAAAATTAGAAACGATGAGGAAATGCCGGCAAAAACAAAGCGATTGGTAGTAACGAACTCTAGGTTTCACACTTATAAATATCTGCAGCACACTTTGTAACCACCAAATCTGAAGATTCGATGACAGCCTTAGGACTATCAAAGCTTCTATTGTTAGAGACAATCATACAGATGTTTGAGATGTTTAATTATCAAGAAAACTACTTCCGATCCTAGATAGCAGTTCAGATCTTCTCACTCCATTTTACGTTTAACAACCTCCTCCAAGTCCACATCTCGAATGCTTCCAGTCTTTTATTTAATGTCCACTATTTCACCAACTTTTTATTAAGCTCTCTTTCTTGACTATTCCAATTATTACCGTTATCTCCTTTTCTTTACTCAACCAACCATCTGATATTACTATACCTTAGTCTTTACTTACTTTACATGTTCCAATTTCTCTCCCCCTTACCCGCACATGCATTACATCCTCTAATCCAACTTTCATTATTTTCGACTTCTTGTGGCTAATACTCAATGCATATGTGTCTTCCATTTCTTCTAGTCGTTCCAACATTTCATTAAATTCCCGCGTGCTTTCGGCAAATATGACCGAACTGCCCCTTACTTACTCCCCACATCCTCACCATATCTACCATATAGATATTATTAAGTAAAGCTGGTGATAGACAACCTCCCTGTCTAACTCCTACTCCTATTCCCAACCATTCGGTAATGGTATTAGTGATCGCCCACCGTCAGTACGACATTTTGCTTCGTGTACAGGGCGAGTCAACGATTGCGCGGAGTAACTTAATGCCTTGAAGATAAGATTTCTCGATAGAGTGCTTTTGTATTATGATATGGTTGAATATTCTCCACATTTTAAAAATATTTGAAATTATACAGGGTGCGCCCACAAAGTAAGGCGCCCAAATGGTACATTTTTTTTAAATAGAACCCCCCGTATTTGAATGCATTTTTTGAATTCTACGTGTAATTGTACATCTTTTTTATTATATGGTTAATATCCGAAAAGCTAGTAGTTTTAAAGATAATTCGATTTTTAAGAAAAATTGGGTATTTGCAAGCGTCAGTATATTGTCAAAATTATTACTTAAATTTTGATTCCAGGTTTTATATCTTTCATCCTGGGTTAAATAAACGTCAAATAAATACATCTACTATGAAACATTAAAAAAAGAGCTTACAGGGAGTTTTTTTTGTAGATCCAAAGTTACAAAACTTCATATTAAAAAATCTCACTTTTTTTAAATGGAGCACCCTGTCTATTTTTCTGCCATCTTTTAGCTCCTTCAAAAACCTTCAACTTTTTAATGTCCTATACCTATCTCTGATAGTTTTCGAAATATCTTGGTTTTCCTGGTTTTTAACCAGTGCCCAGCTCTCCACCCGCCATTTGCATGGACCCCCAATAACAATTAAATGCAATACAATTGTTTCGGGCATTTAATTTAATAAAAGTAGTTTACAGATAATGTTGGAATTGGTATTTTCTTTAAGTTACAAATGTTAGACCCTCCCTTGAAAAAAGCTCCCACCAAGAAAAATCGAAAACGGGATCGCTTTTAAAGTGGTACAGTTGAACTTTTTTGTGACTTGCTCTCGTGTAGAAATTTTAAGAATAACGAATCTTGTATTTACCTCGACCAGAGGCAGTATTCGATTCTGTAAATACTTTTTAGTATTCAAATCCTTTAAAGTATTCAAATACTTTTATGGAAGCAGTATTTGTATTTGTAACTCAAATACTTTCACAAATATTTAGTATTCTAATACTTCGCAAAGTATTTGGATACTTCGCAAAGTATTCGAATACTTCGCAAGGTATTTAATACTTTGAGAAGTATTCGAATACTGCGCATAGTATTTGACCTTCCTTTTTTTTACCAAAAATCGACAACTCCAAAATTTCTCGGGAAAACACTTTTTCTTATTAATTTTGGTGCGTAGAGTCCAAAACAATTCGTACTTTTTCGATCAGACTTCTCAATCAAAAGTTATGGACTAGACACAAATCTCGAAAGAAAATTCAAAGGGCTGTAACTTTTGAACTACTAGCCCAATCTTGGAACTGTTTGAAATTATGGATTCTATAGGCCACATTCTATAAGAAAATGTTTTTTCCCGGGTCGATCTGAGACAATTTTTTTTGTGGGCTTCAAAAAAAGGCAGTTATAACCTTCCTTTTTTACCAAAAATCGACTGCACCAAAATTTCTCGGGAAAACACGTTTTCTTATTAATTTTGGTGCATAGAATCCAAAACAATTCGTACTTTTCAATGTATCTGTATCTAGTATTCGCTTGCGTAAAAGTATTTAGTATTCAAATACCTTTGATTTGTGTAAAGTATTTACTATTTAGTATTCAAATACTTTTTGAAAGTATTCCGCCCAGCTCTGACCTCGACCGCGTTCACTACTTGCGTCAAATTCTCGAAGAAATAAAGAAAAGTTGTTGCTTGTGCATAAGAATAAAAAGCCTTGGTGATAAACCAAAAATAAAAAGTGATAATAGCGGCATAGGTAAAATACGTTGATCTGTGTGTTCTGTGAATATGTATAAATAGAATCATATGGAATTGAACAAGTCGCGTATCGCGAATAAAGTTGATTTAAGTGTACCAATATTAACAAGTCAGTTTCACCATAAATCCATTTATTAATGGACATCCCAATGAGCGGCGTATTATTTTAATGACTGCTGAGTGTTGCGTGTGTTGCGCTTATTTACGAAAAACGGGATTGGGACTAACATCGAGGTATTTGAACACATGAGCGGCGCGGCACATCGGGTTATCAGTGAATAAACAGAATTTCGTACAGTTTCGTACGTAGTAATGAATGCTTTATTTAATAAATTAGATTCTCTTATTTTTAGAATTACTCGTTACATTGTTTTCTAAAATAAATTTAATTATCTGGCCAGCAGGGATATTTTTTGTGTGTAGCTAGGAATTAGGTTTTTTATTCTTTTAGAGAAATGTAAGAATTGTTTTGATTTCATTAATCATCCCAAAAAATTTTGAACTTGGAAGGTGTAACCATCCCAGCAACCTTCAATCTCTGAAATCTTGAGGTTTCCAAATTAATTTTAGCTCAATTTCACTTTAAGGGTTTAAGTTAAAATGTACGAGTACATCCATGTTTGAGTTAATACTTATTACCATTGAATAAGTAAGATTCTAAATCAATGAATATACAAGGCTTTCCTTTAACAAACACACGCGGCCCTTGTGATATTCATAACCTTCCGTTTGCTTTATGAAACGATATCACTTTACTAGGTGCATTATTTTTACTGTTATAACCTTAGCCACTGGTCGCTCCTGTCCGAAACAAGCTTGGCATTAATAGAGAACTATACACCTGGCTGGGTAGGTGTAGGTTCTACTTGAAATCAGTTTTTTTTGTTGCGTTTGTCAAAAAAATCATGGCAGTCACGTTCCTGATAACACCCGGTACTCTGACCTACGAGAGTAGGTGTGATTCATCCAAGGTTTTTTGGGTACAGATCGAAAAGGATGGCACAAAGTTCCGTTTTGACTCCATCATTCAATCTGCACCCTACCCAACAAATCGTGCAAACCGGAAAACTCCTACCTCTACAAAAAAGTGAACAGATCTCAAAAATGGGTCTTTACGTCAATATACATCGTATTTTCTGTGAATCTTGGCACGTCTATCTTAATTAGGTATTGTATTATTGCCAAGGCTTTGAACTTGTAATAACTGAGATAATTAATATCGGCCTTTTCCAATACTTTTCGGATAAGGCAATATCGATAATCGCGATAAGCTAGTGTATAAGCACCAACGTTCGCAAGGAAACTTCTTTTCAGCTAGTGATATGGAAGTGGGACTTTCTATAGTGCTCATCGCGATCGCTGCGCTGCCCCAGGTGAGATAACTGCACATTTCTTTGATTCAAACCTAATTTCCATGTTTTAGCTTCTTGCTGTACCATTTCAACCAAGTAGGTATATTTTTTAATTGGGTACAGTTCCAATAACATAGCGTTCAAATTAGGAATCAGCGATGGAATGCTGGCCAAACGGGGACAGTTCCCATGGCAAGTTATAAATCGTCACATGCTACCACCGTACGGTGAAGCGTTTTGCGGAGCTTCCCTAATTTCCGATCAATGGGTTTTAACAGCCGGACATTGCGCTCACGGGTAAGCTCGTTTCGTGCCCGAACAAAGGACTTAGCCTTGCGCACATTCAGGGCCAGCTCATTTGACATCTCGCTGGGAACGCTGATCGCTGATTACGAAGAAGAGGAGGGCAAAATTGAGATAACGACGAAAAAGGCAATTGTTCACGAAGCCTACGACCCATTGCTGCTATTGAACGATATCGCGTTAATTGATTTGGGTCGCAAAGTGGGATTTACAGGTACGTCAGTGTCGGATTTTTGCAAAGTTCACTAAAGCGGCATGTTACAGATGTAATATATCCCATTCGTTTGGCCACCAAGTATCTAAACGCGAATGTCTCGGTCACGCTCAGTGGATGGGGGAGAACTTCAGACGGTAAGCGAATTTCAGGCCTCCCCTCCGTGACGAACCAATTTTTGTAGATACGATATTGACCTCGCTATATCTCAACTACGTGTCGCTTACGACAATAGGAAATGAGAAATGCAAAGAAACTTTCGGAAATTTTATTAAGAATGAAAATGTATGCTGCGTTGGTGAGCACAAGAAAAGTGGCTGCAAGGTAGGGTTTAGATTGCGCTCCAAATAGTGCATCGTAATTGCTTCAGGGTGACAGCGGAAGCCCTTTGATGGAACAGCTAGCTGATGGGTCATGGATTCACGTAGGTGTTATGAGTTACGTACACAAGGAGGGGTGCACCAAGGGATACCCCTTTGCCTTAGTGCGAACTGCTAGCTATAGAGAATGGATTAGGAACAAGTCAAAAATTTAGACAAGATACTTATTGAAATAAAACCGGCAGAAGCTTTAATATTTTTTTTATTATACCTGAATCACAATCTCCGTTTTAAACACTCAAATGCGTGCGAAAAAGGGCCTTTAAAACACACGTGCTTTAAAGTTGCTAAGTAACGATACTTCAAGTATGACTTTTGAAACTGTCATCTGGGGCTGACATAAAAAATCCTCTTAGGTCGCTTTCTGTAAATGCAGAACATTTCTTTGGCTTTTGTACCTATCCTTTGGTTGAAGCTTTCACAAACGCGCGTAATTTAGGGTATGCTTCCAAATCTGTTCCACTTTTTAATCGCAGCATTTCTTTAAAGTTTTGAATGAATGCACCAAAATATAGAAGATTTAAATACCTTTGCCATTTCCTTCATATAAGCTAGCATTATGGATGCATTTAAGATGTATTCGTAAGTAACTTCCTATTCATCCATGGAAACAACTTTTCATATTCTTTATAATAGGCTTTGCTGGAGTTGGATTTTACACCTACTAACGTTTGTTTAGATTTTACAACAATCGATTTAATGGACGGTGTATTATCTTTTTCAACGGAAATCGTTTAATTCACAAACGATGATTTTTATAAGCAAACGTCAAGTGACATTTCCATGGCAATCGTGAAATTACGAACACCCAGCCCACTTAATTAGACATGTATTCGAGTATAACGTCAATATGACTTCATTGTATTTCCTATTTTTAAATTATACTGCAGGTATAATAAAAAATACTATAAGATACACGTGTATAATTGGTCTTTAAAGCACTTGCAACGTTAAAGGCACTCCGCTTTGCGTCGTGCCCTTAAACTCGTTGCGCGTGCTTTAAAGACTTGATTATACACTTGTATCTTAATATACTATTCTAATACCTTGAGAATCACATTACCTCTCCTTCATACAGGTTCGCCTTTTCAACTAAACGATGATTCGCGATGCGATTCTTCAACTTCTAACCAAATGTTTTGCACCAACACTCAGGTTATGTGCGCCTTTCTTTTCGGAGTAATTCAAAATATCTAAAGGAGGTGCTAACGCCTCTCACAATCACTGATATAGCTGCCCAGGTTTTGTGCGCCTTTCGTTTCAGAGAAAATCAAAATGTTCAGTTGGGGCCCACCTTAATGTTGTTGTGGGTTAAGTTAAGTTATCGGGTCGGAATGACTTCCCAGATGAATAGCGCTTTTGGTTAGAAGTTGAAGTATGAATTGTTTGATTGTAGGCAGAGCTGGGCAGTATTCAATTTTGTAAATACTTTTTGGTATTCAAATCCTTTAAAGTATTTAAATACTTTCTAATTAAATACTTTTATGGAAGCAGTATTTGTATTTGTAACTCAAATACTTTCACAAATATTTAGTATTCGAATACTTCGCATAGTATTTGAATACTTAACCTTCCTTTTTTTTTTACCAAAAATCGACTACTCCACCAAAACACTTTCTTATTAATTTTGGTGCGTAAATCCAAAACAATTCGTACTTTTTCGAAGACTTCTCAAAGTTATAGACTAGAAACTTTCGAAAGAAAATTCAAAGGGCTGTAACTTTTGAACTAGTAGCCCAATCTTGGAACTGTTCGAAATTATGGATTCTACAGGCCACATTCTATAAGAAAATTTTTTTTCCGGGTCGATCTGAGACAATTTTTTTTGCGGGCTTCAAAGAAAGGCAGTGTATAACCTTCCTTTTTTACCAAAAATCGACTACACCAACATTTGTCGGGAATACACTTTTTCTTTATAATTTTGGTGCGTAGAATCCAAAACAGTTCGTACTTTTCCGATCAGACTTCTCAATCAAAAGTTATAGACTAGAAACCAATTTGGAAAGAAAATTCAAAGGGCTGTAACTTTTGAACTAGTACCCCAATCTTGGAACTGTTTGAAATTATTGATTGAGTGACAAGTATTTGAATACTTTTTACTGTATTCGAATACTTTTCAAAGTAAGATAATGAAATACTTTTCAAAGTATTCGAATACTTTTGAAAGTATTCGAATACTTTTGAAAGTATTCGAATACTTTTGAAAGTATTCGAATACATTCTAAAGTATTTGAATACTTATTTTTTTAAGTATTTGAATACTTTTCAATGTATCTGTATCTAGTATTCGCTTGTGCTGGACGTAAAAGTATTTAGTATTCAAATACCTTTGATTTGTGTAAAGTATTTACAATTTAGTATTCAAATACTTTTGGAAAGTATTCCGCCCAGCTCTGATTGTAGGGCAAAAAACGTATGTCTTTAATCATTATGAGTGTTTATTTTTCATTAGGTTGCTTAATTACTTCCGAAAAACAGATATCGCTAGGGAATCTGGGCATTATATTGCATTTAATGGGCACGATTAAGTGCATAATTACATAAAACATCAATTGTTTACAATCTTTTGAGTTTTCATTTTACAACTCAACTGTCGACAGAGCGGTGGGGTAGTCTTGGCGGAACGGAAATGAACCTCGAGCGCCACCAGGAGTTTGTCGATATTTAGTCTGGTCAAGGAAAAACAAGTAAAAACATAAATTATTTACAATCTTATGTGGTTTTATCTTACAACAAACAAAGAAAACAAACCCCATTTAGAATTTTCCATTGAATACAACACCCATAACTATAACCGTTTTCAAGTAATCAATTTTCAAGGTATCGTCTGGTCCGTCATTTTGTTTAAGTCAAGATTACTTAAAAACCATAAATTGTAGATATTGACATATGGGTATCAGAAGAACTAAAATTTCACGTAGAATCAAAAAACGCAATAAAAAATAGAGGTTGCCGTTTAAAATAACGTAGTGACCAGCGACCCTGCCAGCGACTTTTGGTATTTTCGGTGCCATCATTTTTAAAATATTTTACATCGATTCGGATTTCAGAGTAACGTCAAAGTACAAATTTTCAAAAACCAACCTAACTTACCTAGAAACGTTTAACTAAATCCCCACAAAAACACCGAGTATACGACAATATACAGATCCATAAGCCATGGGTCTTTGAATTATCACAGATTCTACATCACACGAACCTTTCCCTAATAGTAAATTGGTACTAAATGGTACTAAGCCCATACAGCACGATACCCAGTACGCGCCAGTACATCAGTACTCTGTAATGCTGGATGTGTAAGCATAAAAGTGTCCCAATGAAAATTCGACCATCCTTATCTGGAAAACCGAGAATTTTTCGGAGAATTTCCAAAACAGCTCAAATTTGTTTTTGAGGGGGATGGAATATAATAAAATACACACCAAAACTCCACCCCTGTGGGTATCACAGCAACCCCCTAAAGAATTTCAAATGGCATGTGGGGGACACAGCAAATTAAAGGAACCAACCATCCACATTATTTCTTTGCGATAAGTAATTTGAAACAACAAATTGAATAAATCGGCGAACTGTTGAAAGGGAACACTCGAATAAATGTCACTTCGCAAGAAAAATTGTACGTCGCATACGTTCGACATTCTTCTAGTTTGCCATGTTGTCTAGGGCCGGCTGTAGTCTTTAAAGTCTCGTCAAAGTCTCTTCAAAATTTATAACTTTTGATCTACTCGTCCGATTTTCAAAAATAATCAAAAGCATACATTTTCCCTATGTTGTACCTGTGTTGTTGTAGGTACAATCGCAATGCGGCCTCACACAGCCCATTTAAAATCCTTGAGGGGGTTGCTGTGACATGTAAAGGGGTGGAGTGTTTTTATTTGTATATTTCTTCCCCCTCAAAGGCAAATTTGCACTGTTTTGGAAATCCTCCAAAAATCCTTGATTTTGCAGATAAGGAGGGTCCAATTTTCGTTGGGCACCCTATATATACTTAAATGTTCGTTTAATATATCTTTAAAGTTATCACACATACATTTACTACCTAGGAAGTACAAAATCGTACTGAGATTTAGAAGGTAACCTACTAGTGTAATCCTTGAGGTATCAGGAAACTGAATATATATTTAAGTACTAAATGGTACTGCTGTTTGTTTATATCCCGGTTATCAATTTGATTGATTGAGTATATGTTGAGATCCCAATAGGTACTTAATAGTACCATGGACTAATGTCTATGATAGTACTGTTCCATAATAATGTGCTGGTTATCCTTATCAATATCCAGTGTACTGGCTAGCTTCCAAGTACTGCCAGCCAGCACATCAAAATATCGGCATTCTTAATAGATGGCAAATTTTTTTGTCATTTTAAGATAGTACTCAAATCAAACGGTACCAAAGAGTACTGATTCTGGTACTGATGTACTGGCGCGTACTGGCTATTGTGTACTGGCTACCTTCACGCACGCCTACGCGTAAGCAGTCTGCGTAAATTGTGTAGGTTTCATGTGTAATGGAGTAAATACCACAATCCAAAATTTTCTTCCACCACCCAAAGCAAGCGATCCAAATAACATCCCTAAACAGGTTTGAACCATCGATTTGAACCCCTGACTTTGTATTATTAAATAACGAAAGATATCTGCCGATACCTTTAACAAAATTTGACAAACTGCACAAACCCCATAAAATTAGAGAAAAAAAACGATAAAAATTAATTTACGTACGCTATAAATCCTAATTAGAAGCGAGTATTGAATTTGCAAGTGTTTTTCGTTCAAACGAATCCGTAAGAAGGGTGCGTACCCTAATCCCCGAGGAATATCGCAAATAATTCTTATTAACATATAGCTTACAATTCTCTTAAGTGTTATAAATCAATACGGATCAATGGTTCATTATAATAGTTGGCATGGTACACTGGCCTACTAACGAGGGAAGTTAGAAAGGGGATCTGACCCACACTACGTCCGTCCATTTAATATAAATGACTCTCGTTGGGTGAATTATAATCACGTTTTCGCGTCGCATTTTTCAATCGTGTTACGCTTTTAAATGCGCTGTTTCAATTTTGATTAAACGCATGTGCATCGGCGAACATTGGTGTCCATCAATGCCTTAGTAGTCGTCGGTACCTAGGAGTAGAGTGTCAACGTGAATATGTTTTCTATGTATTTGCATGCTTGTAGGAGATTCAT